GAGAGAGTTGGGGGGGGGCGAGGCAAAAATAGATATTATGTGTTTGAAAGCAGCTTTTCTATTGGCATACATGTAACCTTGTGACTCCTACATTGCACTAGTCACGAGGAAATGGGCACGTACACGTGTATATAGTTTGCAGAAGGTAAACAGTCGATACATAATGTCTACATTTATTCAGTATTTGGAACTTCCTTCGTGGATCAATAAAGTCTATTCTATCTTATCTCAAATAACGCATCTATTCGACCCAGAAGAGGCCAACTTCTCCCCCTCCTCCTAGTCTCTCGTTCTCAATAGAGGAGATCTTTTCTTGTTCTCACATCTGTCTGTCTATGCGCCTATCTCATCATCCAGTGCTAGATCTGCCGCAGACATCGGCGATCTTGGTTCTCCATTCATTCCTTTGCTCGGATGCTCTAAAAGAGCAACGTTATCCTGATCTTTCCCCGTTACACATTTGTTTAGGTAGCCTAAGTATTTTGCTCTAGGCTTACCCCTTCCTCGTTCGCCTTCAATTTTGCCAGGGAGAGCCAGATGTTCAAGGCCTTTTCAGGTCTATTCAGGTGTCCAAAAGGTACGTTTGTCGTTTCCTGATTGTTTTTAACAGTGGATGTCCCACGTGGGCTTCATCAAGTTCTACCCCTGCGTCTATCCACAGGTATTTATTTTATTGATTTTTTTCCCTTCGTTCTACAGACAAAAACCCAACCTCCATCGTAAAATAGCGTTTTGGGGTTGCAATTGATAAAAGAAGAGAAAGAGATAGAGCAACTGGAAGTTACAGAGGCACAATTAGGGATGAGGCAATCACTCAGTGTCTAGATGTGCCAAGATTGGAGGAGGTGGCCAGGGACAGGCAAAGGTGGCGTCTACTGCTCTCTGCCGTATGTACCTGGTGGTATAGGAAGTAAGTAATCAATAAAAAGCAGCCCAAATCCAACTTGAATGGAAAGAGTTCAACGTTCGATAAATCTCCCAGGAGGGTATTAAACGCCTTGATAAGACAGTTACGTAGCCGGCGGCACCGTGCTACACAGACATGAGAAAGCAAAGTTTATCAGAATAACTCCTTCCTATTCTATAACAGCTCAGAAAATACCGACCGGAAAATCGGCAAACCATTCACTGTGCTGCCTATGCAAAAGTTTAATGTCTTTTAAAGGGCGAGATATGTTCTAGATAAAGTGTCTCATAAATACATTATTTTTACTGTACGTCTCAGTTCTGCCAAAATTCACTATCTCAAGTCGGAGCTAGACTCACCCCCCACCCCTCTCCCACACACACACAAGCAAGACACATACCACATTGCCCTTCCTTTTCCCGTAGATATATTCATAAAACGTGAAGAACACACCCTTTCCATGGAGAACACATTATGCAACAACGATCATTCTAAGGAAAGCTATAGGCACAGATATGTGAAGTGAAGGAACAGTAAGTTATGACAAATAGTCATGGACAAATAGTCCATGGGTTCTGAAGAGGATGTCAGTTTGTTTGCATGTTACACAATAAGACGACTACTGTAAGTACATGTCGCCTTCTCAGAATTACACAGTTCTATCTGCTCATCAGTACCTACTTTTGAGATATTTGACGTCAAAGATGTTGAGTTTCACAACGTGTCGAGCTTTTTCAATGCGATTCTTTGAATAATATCTTGATAACGACTCCGAACAATCTTACAATACTGATAGAGCAGATAAAACATTTGCTTTTTAAAAAAATTTAATCTCATGGTCTTGGTAACTCAAAACGGCCAAGGATGTCAGATAAAACTTTGTAATTTTGAGGTAGGGATGTGTCTACTGCAAGGGGGCTTTGTTCTGTACCTATTTCGGCTCTCTGTAACAACATGTATGGGAGGCACCGTTGCTATAAAGCCTTAAAGCTGTTATTTCTGCCAGCTATTCTCTTCAGATCTGAAAATGGTGAAACGGTACAGGTTTAACCCCCCTATCAACACTATTATGTTATTTAAAGGGCGGGACCTCCGAGTTTAACATCCATCTCCGAAAGGGAAATTCGCGTGAAGTACCCTTCCCAAGGACTCTGCGTCAGTCCGAGCTGAGGCTCGAAGCCCGAACCCGCAATCGCACGATTACGAATACGGTAAACAAACCACAAGACTACCGACGCCACCCCGTTTCAGATCTGAAACAAAACGAACTATGTTAAGCACAAAAATGAAGTAATCCACATAGTATCAGTGCTTTTGAAGGATGCCGTTTTTGTTGTTGGGGGTGAAACCTGGTTTCCGAGTCGAGGTATTTGCTTTTTGCTTAGGTTAGAAAGCATAGTATTGAGTATAGGCTACACGTCGCATGACGATTATAAGCTTAAGACACAAAACTGAGACGTAGCTGTGTAGTGGACGTTGTCGTGGTTGGGGGAGAGTAGCATCGTCGTAGCATTAATTCGCCACAGTTTTTTTGTGTGTGTTTGGTTGTTTGCTAGTTTGTTTGTTTGGTTGTTGTTGTTGTTTTTGTTGTTGTTGTTTTTGTTGTTGTTGTTTTATCGTAGACGAGTCAGCAAACATGTACCGCAAGGGTAAATTTCTTCAAAAAGATGTTTGAAATATCCGGAATCCCCGAGTGATCGCAAGATGTGAGTGGCAGGGATCACGGTTGGTCTTGTGTTTTGTTTCCAATTTCATGAGTAATTGTGTTGATAAAAGAATTATCCCCATTCATAGAGTGTTCAGCAATTCAATTTAGAAGTTGCACCAAATTTAAAACTCAACGAGGGCACACAAAACATCGCGCAATTCGACGTAAGAAATCCAGCAAACAGGAATCTGCATTTTTGAGACTTGATAGCGCGCTGAAGCATTCGCTACAAATCGGATTGAAAGTTGACACAAAAGTTTGAATCTAGTGATAGGTCCGAAACGATGACTCGAATAGAAAGACGGTAGTCTCGTTGGACTCGTTGGATCAAAATGGAGTTTTGAAAAAAAAAATACCACAGAGAAAGGAGTTCAGTTACCCTGGGAACGGACTTCAGATATGTATGTAGAAATTGTTGAGCCTGGTCGCGTGCCTCACTTCCCCTGCTGAGGGTTTGAGATGTACACGCGCGGCAATCCGTAGTAGATAAACTGTGTGGCGAGAAGGCGACCTTTACCTTGGCTCATCAAATGTCTCGCAATCTCTTTGCTATTGTCGCCGAAACGGATGAACTTGCGCAGGGGTGGCGTCACCAGTGCGGTGCCGTAAAGTCCGGGCTCAACGGGTCTTATCTTCTCAAGACGCTGCACTTCGTCCAGAATGCGTCCGTTGACGGCTGTTCTCCACATGGTCCACATGTGCCGGTCCTTCATGGGGTCGAACGAGGTGGCCAGCTCAGACTCGGGGTCTCGGGTGTTGCGTTTGATGATAGGTCGGTGCAACACTTCCTGGCTGGGGGGCGGGGGTCCTTGTTTCACCGCCCCTTCTTGTTGGCTCTGCTGTACCACGTGATGCTGGTGGTGACCGTTGGCTACAGGGGCGTTGATGTAAACGTGAGCTGGTGACATACTGTTGTAGCCATTGCCATTGGCTATTGGTATATGGTTGTAGCCGTTAGCTATTGGCGTGTGGTTGTAGCCGTTGGCTGTGGGGACATTGCTGTAGCCATGGGCCGTGATAGCGTTGGACACAACAGTACTTACGTTGTTATAGTTCTCAGAGACGTTCCCGCCGCTGCGGGGGCGTGGCCCAACATCATTCATGACGACTTGTCTGTGCTGTTTATTGGCAGACAACGGCCGGGCTGTCTTCGAGTGGGCGTGCCTTTGCTTGGCAGGGGTTGGGTTATGCCGTGAGTGGACTGCTGTGTGTCCCACGTGGGCTGAGTTACCTTTAGAGAGAGTGGCGTCCTTTTTGGTGAGTGCACGCTTATGTTCGTCGGCTGCGGCGTTGCCCTTTGAGTCTACGGGATGTTTTTTCGAGTAAACGTAGTAAGTTTTCGTTGGTGAGTGACTGGCTGAACGTCTCAGTTGTCCTTTCTTGTCATAGGCCGAAAACCTGCGGCCTGGTACAGCCATGGCAAGAGCCTGTGAATGAGAGATATGGAAAAAAACACACTTTTAGATGAGTTTGAGTTTTAAGCCTTCATTAACACAAATTTAGTAACTTTATCATCAAATACACCTGCGTCATTATTTCCATGCATTTAAGACAAGCACACATGTGGAACGATAAAATGGAATAAACCCTATACGTTCTTATACTACTCTCTGACTGTCTAGAATAAACCCCATGGACACGCTGAGGAGATAAAAGCTTGAGGTAAAAGTGAAAAAGTTGGCGTCACTTTGTGAAACTTTCTGAGGACAGGCTGCAGTGATATACGCTATGGGCTAACCCCAAATCTAAGCCAAGCAGACAAATCGCTACCTTCGAATTACAAAGTTCTGTTTGACATTTTCGCCGTGTTTTGAGTTACAAAAACCATGAGGTCTGAAACCAATGTTTTATCCCCATTCAAAAGCTTAAGATTTGTCGGAGTTCTCACTAAGATATTGAAAGAATTGTATTCGCAAAAAAAGCTTGACATGTTGTGAAACTCAAAATTTTAAACGTCAAATTTCTCAAAACTAAGAACTGAGCAAAATGAACTTTGTAATTATATGGTAATGAAATCGAGCTTTCACACTGTCGGGTAAACCATTAAACATGATGTCTTTTACTACATGTATAAAGAAGCCAGCCAGACATGTAAATAAGTGTTTTCGCACATCGAAGGCAAAGACGCAAGAAAACAAAGTCACACACGAAAGTGATAAAGAAGACTGGCGGTCGTTCCTTTGCTTTGATCTTTCGTAAAAACAAGTCTAGCATTAACTGACCTCATAAAAAATGCAAAACAAAATTCTTTAAAAAACCAAAAACCAAAACCAAAACAAACAAAAACACAATATTATGCGTAATGTCCTGGCTATACACGTATTGGCCACAAGGGAAAATCAATGTAAACAACGTGGTTTTTTAAATTTATAGTAGAGGGTTTTACGGCGCTCGCAACTGCATAAGGTCATATATGAGCGCCAAGGGGTGGGTGTCAACAGAGAAATCTTTACAGGGAATCAGACTTATTCTGCTCACCTCTCTAGCTTCAACAGAACAAAATCTGCTTCCACTATCAAGGCATCCTAAAAATAGCAGGTCACAAGAGAGTGACAAACATACAAAAGAAGTAGAGGTAAATGACAATAGTAAGGATTAGGAAAGAAAAAGCAGCAGTTTCCTGTTGTAGATCAGGCACAGTTATAGTATAGTTATAATATAGTGTAAAGCGCATAGAGCCTGCTGTTGAGCGGGGATATGCGCTATACAAATGCTATTATTATTATTATTATTAGTTATGAGCGTGACATGAATCAGCCCATTTACAATTCTACTGTGCTTGAACGAGAAAGGTCCCCCCTT